TTTTGCTCACTCATTTGTTTATTTATTTAATAGTAGACACCTGCTACCTGTGCACCAGGCAGTGTGTGAGGTCCTGGGGTGGCCAAAGTCAAGCCTGTTCTCTACATAGTATACTCCCAGATAAGCTCCACATGGAGTTTAAAGTTCAGTGGGAACACAGACATAACAAGAGAACAAATGAAAGAGTAAGAACAAATTATGTGTCATCACGAAAGCTGACCAAAGACTATGTGAAGACTATTTCAAATGGCTGAAAGAGGAAAGTCTTGTGAATATTTTCAGTGTATCCTCCTCCCCTGCAAGTAGAGTCGCACAGAACCTTCCAAAGAAGATAGTCTCAGTGAATGCTGACTGACAAGTGATGCAGCAAAAGGAAAATAGTTAGACATCTGGCCTAATGTTTGGGTAACTAGACAATTTACGACAATAAGATAGAGGGTGCAGTGGTTCTTAAATGTGAAATTGCTAATTAATCACCTGGGAACTTTGCCAAAGTGAAAATGCAAGGGCCCCAACCCCAGAGATTCTACATCAACAGCTGGGTGCAGGCTGCAGCAATCTGTCTTTTATCAAGTTCCCAGATAGTTCTCTGGTAGGTGGTTGAGGAATAATATAATACTTGGCAAAGCACTGCAGTAGTTAGGTGCTAAGATCAGGTAGCAGAGTGTAGGTCCCAGCTCTGTAAATCTGGGGTTAATACAGGGATTACTTGAGTCTTCCATGCCTCAAGGGGATAATGTATATCTATTAACAGGGATAATGTTCATGAACACAAGGGGCTAGAACACTCCCAGCCTTGCCTCATTCCTAGCATTTCTTTTTGACCAACTATTTTCAGGAGATAGCCTTCATCCACTAGAACACCTTTCTCCCATAAGTTTTCTTTTTTATTTTTGGAGAGTTTTTTGCTATAGGGCATGTGTGCTCACCAGAAAGACAGAGAGAGAAAGAGAAATAGAAAGTGAGAAATCACCTCCTGCCGCCCCCCCCCCCCAGGGGGGATGGCCATGTCACAATCCCTTCTCCTCCATTCTCCTCTCGGGATCTTGGGCATGCACGCACACGTGCCCGGCATGAGTTTAAACCACTGGGTCCGGGACTTGAACCACAGTCGGCTACATGGGAGGCCAGCAACATAGCCATTATGCTAATTGCTGGTCCCCATAAGTTTTCTTTTATAAATTTGTTTTGAATTTTAATTATGATTTCTGGTCTGCATATAATCAATGTATATCTTTGTGGGTACATGGATTTTTAAGGCATGCATACACTATACAATAATCAAATCAAGGATATACCCATATCACCTTCAACACTGAACATTACATTATACTATGCACATTTGTTCTAGTTTTTTTTCATTTAAAATATGTATTAAATTTTTAATATTTTTACTCCATTGTGATAAAAAGCAACATGACCTCACTGTGTGCTTTCATAAATTCAGACAGGATTCTTCCTCACTCTGATTAATTATTTTTCTTGTGTTGGTCTTTGTAATTGGGATAAAGGACCATAGAAATAACTATGCTTGCGACCAGCAGTTAGTGTATGGCTATGTCACTGAACTCCCATGTAGCTGACTGTGGTTCGAGTCTCGACCTGGTGGCTTTAACTCACACCAGGTACATGTACGTGTGTGCCCAGGATCTTGAGAGGAGAATGGAGGAGAAGGGATTGCGGCATGGCCATCCCCCCTGGGGGGTGATTTCTTACTTTCTACCTCTCTATCTCTCTCTGTCTTTCTGGTGAGCACACGTGGCCTATAGCAAAAACCTCTCAAAAAAAAAAAATTAAAAAGAAAAGAAATAACTATGCTTAAAAATAGGGGGAAAGGGAAGAAAACACAAAAGAGATGAAAATAAATTCATATGGACAATTGAGGAATAAGAAAGATGATTTCAGACAGTCCTAGGCTATTTGCACCCACTTAACATGGGTGAGAGAAACACATATGGGGTCTTCAAAGAGTTCACAGAAAGTGCACATTGTGGAAAAAATATGCATGAGTTGCAAAAAGTTTTAGCACCCAAATAAACTTTAACTCTATGTTTTCACTACCTTTTTGAAATCTCATATATCACAATTGAAAAGGTTTCAGTTAGTATGATTTGGTAGGGGGAGTGGGAATCTGAGGCTTGTGTTATCTTGACTTCTCTAATTTTTTTTCTTTTAAAAAAATTTGCTGAAGGGTGCATACACTCACCAGAGAGAGAGAGAGAGCGAGCGAGCGGAAAAATGAGAAATCACTTCCCCTCCCAATGGGGGATAGCCATAATACAATTCCTTCTCCATTTTCCTCTTGGGGTTTTGGTCACACATGCATATGTGAAACTGTGATTTCAGGCTGCCTGGTCTGGGACTCAAACCGTGGAGTTGGCTATGTGAGACTCAACATCTTAAACTCCATGCCACCTGCTGGCCTGACTTCCTAATTTTTGCTTGTATTCTGACTTTTGGAAGTCAAGGGGCAGAGTACTGGTTACTTTTTACTTTCTTCACCGGGTGATATGTGTGGATAGTGGCTCCAAAGGGCTACAGAGGAGCCATTTCCTGGCCCCCGGATTCCTCTATCAGAATCAGGCTGCAGGAAATGCTTCCCTAATCAGCAAGTGCTACTATTGTGTCCATCAGGGAGAAAACAAGCCTAGGAGATTCGCTAAGTTCATCTCAGATACTTATTGGAATCTTATCCAAGCATCCGGAATTGTAGTCAGCAAGTTTTGACTGGAATCTGGATAAGAATGACATGTCTAATGTGATTTGTAGTATTTCCTTTAAGTCAAAAACCTCAGGCGTTGGGGGAAAAAAAGTCTGAAAAGAATTTTTTAAAAAGGAGAAAAGATTATTTTATATATGTATATGTATGTATATATATATATAAACACTGTATATGAAGAAAGATACCTTGCCATTGGTGGGGTATATTGGTGTGGAATCATGAAAATAATGATGTGAGGAGGAGATCAAAATCCAGTTTCTTTTAGGAAATATGCCATTAAAATGAAGAATACCCCACAATAGTTACGCTGTTAAAATAAAATAGCGTATGGGAGGATTTTGAGGAGCAAAGTTGATTTGATGACTCCAAGATTGAATTTGTTCCCATTTATTGAACAGCTATTATATGCAACAGCTGTAGAGTATTTCTGCAGTTCACACACCCTTGCGAATAAATACTATTGGGTTGTCAGAAAAGTCATGGCACATTTTTGCATGGAGAAACATAGAAAAATGTCATGACTTTTTGACAACCCAATATTATCTTTACTTTCTAGATGACATAACAGATTAGGAGAGAGAAAGACGTTAGAAAAATAGTTTGATGTCTCGTGTTCAGAGAAGAGCTGACTAGGGCTCCTGTGCTGTCCCATTTCACATTGCCTGTGTCTAGCTCTCACAACGAGGGGGGGT